GTTCTCTTACCTGCAGGGTATGACTTGTGCCATGAGCAGCAGAGGTTCACCAGACACTATTGAACTTGCAAAGACTGTATAATAACTTTTGAATTGGTTATTAACCTTTATCAGTGAACCCTGAAAATCCACACTAGGGCACACTGAACCTAAGTGCAAGTTTCCGTCCCTTCTCCTGCACACATACACAATTTCTCAATGTCAGACATCACCAGTTCCATCAAAGAAAGGGCAGGATAGGTGAGAGGCAGCTATAAAGTTGCAGAGGGTTTGATTATTTTATAATTAAACATGTCAGAACTGGAGAAAAAAAAAGTTATCAGGAAGTTTTGTAATTCGATTAGTTCCTCCTCCTATACATATTTTTCCCTTATTAATGTAATTAATTATGGTTAAGTGTAGCAAATTGTACCATCAGACAAGCTGACAATATTTCTTCTATACAAATTATTCTGTTCTTTAGAAAATAATTCAGTATTCCTACTGATAAAACTGGATTCAAAAAGTCAAATGCTCTGAATTTCTTTTTCTTAATTGACAGAGTTAATCGCTTAAAGTCATATTAGCTTGGCAACAAACTGACCATACAAGATGTTATCACAGTTTTTCAGTGGAAAAGAGTTTTTAAAGAGGAGAGTTATAGAACAAGTCTGCCTGTTCATTATAAAAAATTACATTTAAAAAGGCATTAATATAATTAGAAGGAATTAGAAAGTTAATCATCTATCAACAGGATTTCAAGTAAAATGATTTTCTTATAGGTTTCTGTAGGTCACAATTTATAGTACAGATACGTAAATCATTGATGTGTAATAACTGTGTTTTTGAGGGCTTATGCTACATCCTGGAGACAGAAAAACCTACCAGAGTCAATAATACTGCAGTTAGATCATCAGAAAATAACTCCCTTTTATTTCAGTGTTTATTCTGGTGTTTCACTGCTGATTTACCAAGTTTAGGAGAAAAGAGAAGCTCAATGAAGCTCAATATATGACAAAAGTATACATATATATATAAAAGGCACTCGTTTCTTATGAATGTGTAGTCACAACTAATATGCTTTCAGTTTCATCGTATTACGAATATCAGTCTAACAAATATTTTAAAGTGGAATTAGTGCAGTCTCTGCAATATCTGATTCTCTCTCAGAGGCATCACGTAGAAGTGACTGAATATTTGTACAGGCTTCAAAAAAGACCGAAACAATGAACTGTTGAGACCAAACCCACACAATAAAAATCAAGAAGGGAACTTCAAAGAGAGAAGGCAACTGAAAAGCAGGGTGGGTGGAAAATACTAATGGTGACCCCGCTTCGCAGGCGGCGCGCGGCAAACCGTGCAGGGCCCCGGCCTTCCCTCCGCAGCGCCTCGCTCTGCCCATCTCACACCCGCTGCTGCTCTGGTCCTCGCCCGGCCTCGGGGCGCCCTGTGCTGGGAAATGGGGTGTTTTGTTGCACAGGGCCAGGAGAAGCCACAGTTTGCACAGTAGCTTGTGCAGTGAGAAACAGAGTTAAATGTCCTCTTCCAAACAATACGCTCTGCGAAGCTGCCCTGCTGGTTTTCTAAGCACTTTGCCTTTAAAGAAAAGCAGACTGCCTGCACTACAATGGATGGTGCTAACAATACAGCACTTGTCTGCCTCCCAAGAATCCCAGAAACAATTGGACCCCATCACTTACGAGGATTACATATTTTCAGTCTCTGGCAGCACTGGAGTTTGGCAGTTTGCAAACCCTTCTCATGTGACCATTTATGCCAGCAAAAAATAAAACAAAAGTATTCATAGAAGTGCAGTTTCACAGTTACTCATGCAAATCTAAGTTCATACACAATATATTACAGTGAGTATGAAATCATAAAACTATCAACTAGGAAAAATTCACACAGCCACATTAAGTGGTACTTAAGTAACATATTGAGGAAATGCCAGTTACAGTGTGAATAACTAATGTGAACAGCAAATGAATAGTTGGCAAGAAGTCTCAGCTTGTAATAATGTTTAAGTATGCAAAATCTTCTTGAATAATCAGCTAACTTATTTGTACAGTCACAATCTGTTCACAGATAGTTCACTACAAAAAAAAAAGGAGCTGTATTTATCAGATAAAACCACTTGCTGAGAACAGTTTATGTCAAATTACTACTCTGTGAATTGCAGCTCACGTCAAGTTTTGTAAGGTTTTGTTTTGCATTCAGTAGTAAAGATTGTATCAGAATATGCCTTTGGAAATAATGTCAAAAACATGATTGAACCAGTAAACTAGCTTTTTTATTGCAATCCTCCAACCCTGGAGACAGTACAGACATGAAACCTAATTGCTGAAAGAGAGATACATTAACAGATCCCAATTCTGTAAAATATCTACCAAGCCTTTCAGACTTATTTAAAAAACAAGAATAACCTATACACTTCACATGATTAAGATTTTTTTTTTAATCCGACGTTTTTTTTTAATAAGCTCTTCCTCTTCAGATTTTCACACTCTCTCTTGGATTACGTTTTGTAACAAAATTTATGCAGAACATCTGTATTTTCCAAGTTAATCATTATTAGTGATCCAAGGTGAACACCAAGCTGAGCATGCTTATGCCGGGAAGTCATGCTAATGTGTACACTTTACGGATAATTACATCTCTGCAGGAAGTTAAGGCACTACATCCATACAAGTTGCAAATTACTGCTTTTTGGTCAAATAGCGAAGTTTCTTAAGGCATGTATCAGTTACTAAGAGCAAATAAATAAATAAATAAATAAATAAATAAACAAATAAATAATCACAGAATCACAGACTGGTTGAGGTTGGAAGGGACCTCCAGAGATCACTTAGTCCAACTCCCCTGCTCCAGCAGAGACACTTGGAGCACGTGGCATAGAGTGGCATCCAGGCGGGTTTGGAAGATCTCGAGAGAAGGAGACTCCACAACCTCTCTAATACACTCTTAAAGGGATTTAAAGGGATTTGTTGCCCCATTAAAAGCAAATTCTTTCAGTTACTTTGAGCAGCATTCAGCAGAACTCTGTTTTATCTATATCAATGGCTGATAAGATGAGCAGTTCGGATCACAAGTGCTCTGCAGTAATGGTATTAATGCATTTTTTCTTTTGTCTTGTACAGAATTAACAGCATTCAATACTGCTATAATTTTGTTTCCTACTGCTTTTTCTACTGAGAGCTACTGACACCTCACAGTACAGAAATGTTTCTATAGCAAACCTGTAAGGGTGATATCGTCATCTTCTATAATTTGCTCCTCTGCGACATCGAGAGAGCTTTCGGTAATCATGTCACTAGGTTCATCCACACAGGTTAAGCCAGAATAATTGTGCAGGAGGTCTGCGCTAGGAACATGTTCCACAATGACAGCAGGGAAAATAGACGGATCACCAAGCTATGGGAAGAAAAAAAATTTAAAATAGTTAAGATTTTATGCAATCTAATCACATGCAAATAAATAATTCAACAGACCCATCCTACTGAATATTAGCTGGTCAAGGAGGAGCACCAAAGAGCAGGTTGACTTTCAACACCCCAAACAGAGCAGCTGTCGAGCCAGCTGCCGAGCATCACTGGAATATCCCAATACACCAACTCTGCCCTCTCACATGTGATTCTGAAGAGGGGTTTGTGGTTGAACTTGATTATCTCGAAAGTCTTTTCCAACCATGATTCTATGACACAGGATGGTATTGCAAGCAGGACACTGGGACACCCGGTGAAGATGACTTTTTTAGCTCTTTTAGGGGTCACCACTGCAGTAGCCAAAGGTCTAACAGTGAGCTGTTGATACACATGCCACAATACTTTCCCTCTTGACTTCTTATAGCTTTATTCACTTGACATTGCTCCCTCCCTTTTCCTTCCTAGGTCTACTCTCATCCTCCTCTTTTGACAGTTACTTTATATGAGATACAGAAGAAAAGGGCAGCCGAGAAGACAGAATCTGACCACCAATAACAACAGTAACGTGCATGTTCCCTCAGAAGGCAGCAGCCATTCAACAGGAAGAGGTTTTCATAAAGTGCTGTTTACTATAGACACAATATTTTTCAAAGCAAGTCTTTTAAAATGTCATTTGCAGGAAGAAAGTCATAGCTGATGGTAGCAGAGCTGGCTCAAAGAAAGCCTAGTGTAACTATAAGGCAAAAATAAACCAGATGATGAACATTTCAAACCTTGAAAAACAGAAACAAAAGAGGCTGCACGAATGTATGTTTCTACAAGAAAAACAGTACGTGTGTGCTTGGTCTCACCTTCCACAGAAGAGCAAAGACACACACAAACCAAGCAGCTTGTTTAACCACACAAGAAATCACACGATGATGAGTTTGCTTAGGCGTTGCTCTTGTCTCTCAATCTCGCCACTACGCACAGCACAACCCAAAGAAACCAGAGCTGTCAGCCCAATATAAACAACAGCTTAAGTATCTCCAAGAGAAGAGTCTGGGCGGTGAGCAAAGTAGAAAGTGTGATTAAAGGTTCTGAAAGGCAGCAATTACCATTTCCAATTGCTCAGTGTGTTATAAAACATGGCTCAACAGCAACTGTGGTAAAGGGCAATCAGGAAAAAGGGAAGAATTTAGAAATAAATAAATAAAACTAATATTTCTGTGGGCTTCCATCATGACCTGGCTGCTAAACAAAAATGACAAAACAAAAAGAAAAAAAATATATACTACCTTATTCCATCAAGGAAACTTCAAAATAAAACATGGACAACATGGGACGAGATCAACAAAAATAAACAAGAGGCAGACTAACTAAAGCCCTCAGGCAATGCGGATGCCAGATGATGGGCATGTGTTGAGTCAAGCAAGGGCTCAGCTTCCACCCCAGATCTTCTGTGGCTGCCTCCGTCAGGCCGTGTCTTGCCTGGGCTGAAAAACTGGGAACCACTGGTACTCAATGGGTCACAGCTCCTTCCCAGAAATGGTGGGTGTTTGCCTCATGCATCCTGCTTATTTAGAGACACCAACAACTCATATGCTGTTTGTTTCCAGGCAAGAATAAGCAAATACATGCGATTAAATAAGAGCAAAAAGGATACAGCACTATAAACAGAAGAAAAAATACTGTGTGCATATTAAGGTTGTTTGCCACAACATGTTCCATAAACATGACCTAGAAGGAAGATGGTCCATTACAACCACATTACTGAGATAAAATTTAAGCTACAAAAAGTTCAAGCATCCCAATTTCCATTATATGCCTCAGCATAGAGCTTGTTTAGTGTAAATTACACATATTATACATAGAGCTTGTTTAGTGTAAATTACACATATTATACACACATTTATGTAGCTACATTTAAGAAAACAAGTGCATTCTGTTTTTAGATAAATTGCACCCTAAAAATACCCATTTCTCTCTGTTGCCTCCAAAAGGTGGGGGCCAGGTACTCGGGTGCCAATTTCCCACATAGACACCAGTTATGTTCATGTTCATCTGCACGTGGCCAGCTGCCTCCCTGCAGTGCCTCTGAAATGAGCTGTCCCTTCCCCTCCTCTTCTGCTTCATAGCTGCAAAGTTTGCAGGATGTCAGGCGTCCCGAGGGACTGCCCAACTGGGTGTCTCTGCTTAGTAGCTCCTTCTGGATTAAAAATGAAAAATACTCTGGCTCTGCACCGACCTTCCCTAACAACTAAACTTCACATCACTGACTTCCCTCCTGAGATGCAGAAATGCCTCCAACTCCCTCATTCTTCAGTCAGGATAAATCACCAAAAGCTGCTTCAAAATGAAACATTAAAGGAAACAGATAAAAATCAACCGATTCTTACGCACTTTTATCTCAGTCTTTCAAAGCCTTGTCTATGCTAGCGGTCAGTAACTCTGCTGGGAAGCCTAAATTACAATAGCCCAATCCTTCTTTCACTACTGAAATGTGCTTCATATCAGTGACCAAAACCTGTTTCCCATGATACTGAGCAGTACTGCAGTGCTGAGTCTTAGCAGCAACTGGTCTTGTCAGTGTGATCTGATGTCATCTATTTTGCAAGGATAAACATAGGAAAAAAAATGCATACAATTTCAAACTAATTTATTTGAAACACTTTTTTTTCCTCAAAAATAGTCATCAAACACTTTTTTGGTATGATATTTGCAAAGAGTTGTGATTTCCGAATCACACCGCTCAGTTTTAAAAGCTGCTATTAGTACATCCCAATACACATGCAACCACTGAAAGGCAAAACTGAATTTCAAGGCTTCTGTAATTTTCTTGACTTCGTTAAAAAGTCTAAATCCCAAGCTAAAATTCCTGGAACTCCACTAATGCAGTAATGACACTGTACACATTTAGAACTGCAGAAGAGTCCGTGTTTACTACAGCTCCTTTTGATACAGATGTACAAACAGAATTACTGGGGAAAAACAGTAAAGTCTTAAATTAAGGACTACTTGTTTTCAGTTAGAAGGCAATTCAATTTATTCAATTAATAGCAAATTTAAAAAAAAATCACAAAATAATTTCTAATACTTTTTTTTTTCAACATGCACAAAAAAAAGTGCAAAGCAGAGAATATGTTTATTGAAATTAAAAAATAATAAAGCAAGCTCTGAATTTCAATAAATCAGCAACACAGGCAAAGCAGCAGTTTTTGTGTTTCTCCTTTTGCCTACTTCTGCTGCTTCATCTTGCTCCTGCCACCTTCAAAATAAAGTTAGAATATGGCATCCTAGCTCCACTGTATTTTCCCTTGGCATCTGCTACATCTGCTAGAGAAAGGAAGGAGCTGAGCTACTGCTAGAAGCTTCCTCAAGTCTCCGGCACCAACTACTGCACCTACCGTCTTCTCATACAGCAAGCCCTGTAAGAAACAACTCAGAATTTCTCCAGAAAAGCTATGGTGAGCAGCTTCTCACTGGCTTGGAGCATTTTAGGGAAGCTATGCGGGAAGGCAGGCATCCGGTTAACATACGCGGAACAAACAAATCAACCAGGACAAATTCGGCGTAGAAATGGGCTCTGTAAGAGCTACAAAATTTGAACTTGAGCTTCATTTTGTCATTCATTTTGAAGAAACGCCTTCACAAAATGGGGTGGAGTGATTTAGGTGACCAAAAAACAGCCTTCAGTTCTCTGCCGCTCACATTCCTCGATGGAGATTCCTCTGGGCCAGCAGCACAGGCCACCTCTTGACTTTAAAGGTGTTCCCGTGGCTGGGATGTGAGGAGTGACCCAGTTTCACTGCGGGATTTTGGAAGCAGATAAATGCCCCTTGCTTTCTCAGTGAGACACCTTCTTACAGACCTCACAGTCATTTACTGAAAGCCTTCACAAAACTGGAAGTGGCCAAAAGGTGGGACTTTCTGTAGGAGCTGAAAATGGCCAAAAACTAGGGCCTCAGCCTAGCAGGGGCTTTTGACTCTGGCTCCTCCAACATGCGGGAAGGACCTAGCTGTCCAGAAAACCCATGGAGTTATGAGCAGTGCTAGTGCAAGCCACTAGCTCCCCTCTCAAAATTACAAAGATATTTTCATCCCATTTCTTCCTAGTCATCTGTGCACTACAGCACAAATAAACACACAGAAAACAGGGGTGGAAAAGAGCCAAAAAACACCCCAGACCCCACAGTATTTTCTACACTGAACAGGATAAAGTTGACAGGAGAGAACGTTCCCCAGTCATGGGGAATGATGTGATCAAGTCCCTCCCATTGGTATCTGCCACTGACTGAAGGTTCATGTTTACAAAGAGCTTGTTCATAATTTATTGCTGTTTAAGCAAGACTTTTAGCAATAAATTAATAGCCATGAATTATGACTTCCCCAGAACACTGAGGGTGACTGCAATATAGACCATAAAGCTTTTCCCACAGCTCCTCCAGCTCCTGACAGTTCTTGGCAGCAAAGGGCTCCAGATAAAGCTTTGACAACTAGACTAAGTTCTTTAAATTACAGCTTTCAAGACCATAGCAAAAATAATTACTCAAAGATCAGTTAATTGAGCTCTGTATAAAAAGGCATGTTTCATGCTGTGACAAAGTTCGAAAACAAATAAAACGTTTTTTGATCAAACCAGAGCACTTTCAGAGCTAAACAAACTGTGATGTCTATCCCCAAATACAATATATCTTTGCAGAACTGAAAAGCTTTAGCAGCTCAGCTCCCTCTGTTATAAGAAGCAGATATACATGTAATTACTCTTGCTAATGTTATACTATGGTTAATGTTATATTACATACCATTGTCTTAGCTAAATCTTTCTCCAGATCATCATATCTTTCCTGCTTACCAAATTAAGATCTATCTTCATGCAGCCATCTATGCACCTGCCCGAATCTTTCATATCTGAACCACAACAATCCACTTGTTGATTCAGAAGGAGCTGGTTGCATCCCTGTGTTTGGGACACGGGACCTTCCGCTACACACTTTCTCTCTTTGGCTTCCACAGCTTCAATTTCTTCACCAGGACACCTTGTTCCAGGACACCTTGTTTCCTTAGGCTTAGTCTAGAATAGGACTTATTTAGGAGGTAAATGCTAAGGTTAAGTTAGTTCTGGGCTGGAGAAGTCTATATTTAGGGAGGGTTCATTGCGCTGCTGTCGTATTTTTGAAGTTCTTCAGCTGACCACATAAAAAAGTTGTGATAGGCACAATGCAAGGACAAACAGAACAAACCCATGTTTGCCTGCACTCTACCCCTTCTACGGAGAAGAAGCCTCCTCTTCTCAGTTTTCCCTTTCCCATTCGCTTGTAAATTAAGAACAGCAACAAACAATAAACAGAGCTAATACATGAGGCGTATTTGCCACTATGTTTATGCAATTCCCATATCTAAATCCCCAGGCTACCACAAGCTCTGGAAAAATACAGGGAAGGAAGTTACATTACTAGTTCCACCCAAAACTGAGTTAGCATTTTAGACAGAAAACACTCAGTTCATTGAAATGCTCATATGACTCTGACAGCAGAAACAGGCCAATGGCAGCCAAGGATTAGCCCATACGGAAAACCCAGAGACAAGATCATAAAACTAAAAGCGTTTTCGAAAAACGAGACAAAAAAGCTTTTCACACACACACAAAAAAAGCCTGCAAGTGTTTCTCAACCTTTTAAGGACTGTCTCTCAGTAGTACCGAGATACCTGTTTTCCTGTTAACAAATGCAAAACCCTACCATTAACCACCACCTAAGGAGGAGTGGCCTTACTTTAAAAGTAGGAATCCCTCCCGGAAGCGTCAGGACTTACAGGATGCGGTTTAAACAAATCTACACCTGAGAGTTTCATGAGAAGAAAACAGATATATTTTCCCTGCAATGCGAAAGAAAACGATTTAAATGATTATGAGGCTTGGTTCTGAATAGCTGGCATATACATGGTAATGCAATTTAGAAGACAAACTAAAAATGCAGAGGCTTCTAAAGCTTTTCTAGTCATTCACAGTGTGACAGTTGCTTTTATTCAGCAATTTATCGTAGCACACTAGAATAAACAACTAGAAAAGTTAAAAGAACTGTCACACACCAGAATTTCACAAACTCTGCATCAAGAATGGATCTACTGGCACAGACTAGCAACACAGGCACAGCATTTTACAGAAGGGAAGGTCTCTGCAACACTGCAGAAGTTAAAACATTTCAACCGATTTCTGTTCTGCTCACACAAGTTACAGGAAGCAACGGGAAGCTTTTGAAACAGTAGAAAGACTTGCTGCAACCATAATTGCTTTTTTTGTGTGTTTCTTGTTACTTTTTTTTCTTGGGTTTTTCATAATACAAATAGCACCGACTTGTACAAATGCGACTTCTCACACTGCCCCATACCTGCTGCTCATCCTCCATGACGTTGCTGGCAAATTCAAATACAAGCTCATTCTGCTGTACAACTGCTGCCATAATAACGCATTCCCAGGTCTCAGTTCCACATAAGAAGAAAAAGTGTTCTCAGATGTAAAAGGGCAGAAGAGTGGTACCAAGATCCAGCTGGGTAGAAAAACAGTCACAAAAATAGATCAAGTATTGGTTTTAGTACTTCTTAGATCGCCAGCCTTCCTGGGTTTTTCTCTTCTCCAAGGTAAACAAAGCAAGGGAAATCCTTTCCTGAGTTGTTCTTCCCACTTGGACAGCGTTTTATCACTGTGGAGAGGAAATAAATAAATAAATAAATAAATAAAATGCAACTTCTTTAGCCACATGAAATAGTAGAAGTTACAATAAAGTGTGCTCCAAATTACAAGTATTTCTAACACACTCTAATAAAGTTTGATATCTCTGTCTTCAAAGATATTATTTCTACTAATACATACAGCTTTTTTTGTTGTTTCTGTTTTTTAAAAGAGAAGGAAGAAGTACGCTTAGGAAAGCAAAATGAAACTTTCAGGAAATCAGACATCAGTTTAAGTCTTTTACTATGAAAAACTTTGAAAATAAAACAAAGATAAGTTATGAAAGTTAATGAAAAAGTTCGTCTCTTCATTTTCATTCATATAATCATTTTCATATTCATTAATAATTCTTATCTCTAAGGTGCAAAGCAAAAAAAAAAAAATCATAACCCAGACTGACCTACCTATAGGACACTTCAAAAGCTATCTCCTTCTCTTCCTTACACACAATCCCATTTTTGCAAAATGGTTATTTTTTCCCCAAGTGAAAAGCACTCAATCTTGATACATACAGAGTCAAATAGGTAAAACAAATAAATATACTTTATATGGTCACCAAAAGTCACAGAGTTCTTGCATGAAACTGTTCTTCAGCTTCTTTTCAAAAATGCCTTGTAAAATATCCTTATCTCTACCCCAAGCTTGCAAGCGGCCGGAAGGAAACAGCACTGACCACGTCACGGCAAATTAGAAGAGGCAAAAGACTCCACAGTACAATAGCAAAATAAATAAATAAATAAATGCACAACTTAGGAATGCAAACAGCTTCATCGCAGGGATATGTGCTTGCAACTCCTATGTTTTCATTTATCCAGCAGCAAATAAAGGTAAACATGGCTAATACGAGCTCAAAAAGAAAAACAGCAATAAAAAAGGAGCATAAAATGCAACCTTTTCATGCAATTTATATAGCCGACACATTCTGAAAAAAAAATGAATAAATAAGAAACACTTTGAAGACTAAGAGGAGAAATAAGTATCTAAAACTGGGAAGTCAGGGCAGTGCTCTGGTGTCTAGAAGTTAAACCAACTGGTCTTTAAGGAAGTGAAACGGGTGGTCAGTGACGTTCTGCCCAAAACCCTCTGAACTGCCTCTGCTTTGGGGCTGCTGTGACCTGCTCCAAGGAACTGGTACCGAACCTGGGCCTGTTTGTGAGACACACATTCAGGCCCAAACTGCTCCCACTGAAATCCTTGGTGGAGACTCCAGGAGACCTCGGCAGAGGAGCCCGGTGCCATCTGTGACCCGCAACATCTGTGTTTGCATTGGAGCTTAACTGCGCCCTGCTTCTGCACAGACTAAAACTCATGAAATGAAGGGCATCTTCCTCTTCTCTGCTGCCAAGCAGCTTAACAAGGGAGGATCTTGTCACGTGCTCCTACTCCCTCACTCTAGGAAATGCAACAGCTGTTTTTTTCCCATATAGACTGTGGTATTCCCAAATTCCTAAGCGGTGATGACAGGCCATTCAAGGAGTCTCACTTAAGTCACTGGATCCTACCTACCCTTCTAAGAAACCAGGAAACCCAAGATGATGCAAACACGAGAACCTCCCCAACTTCCAAAGAGTGCTTTAAATAGCAGTTAAACACTTCACAAGTGTAGTCACTACCCTAACTAGAGAGTATTTTCATTAATGAGAGCTACTTGTAGAAACAGAAAAGGACGTGCTTTTGAAACCATTACTGTTTTAACTGTTCAACCTCAAGCCCTTTCATTTTTCACAATAACTTGAGTTTTCTCCTTGCAAGGCAATGGCAGCAAAAGTCTTGTATGCAACCATATCATCTTGGGTAACCTCCCCAGATTTATTTATTTGGCTTCTTTCTTTTAAGAAGAGAGCAAGCAGAGTTATACACACGTGCCATCGAAGTGTGAACAAAAATCAGCTTGCTTCATCTTGGACTATTAATATCCTTCCTGTATGCTAGCTGAAATATATATAGCTATATACTATATAGCTTAGTATTTCCTATTAGCCAGCTATTGAAATTGGTCAATAAATGTCAATAGGCACACACCGGCTCTTTCATAAAGCAGGCTAGGAAAGGAATATAAGTTTATTTCAGTGCAAATTCTACTTTGGTTACTGCAAAACCATAAATTAAAACTCTCCAATGTGGTATTTTCAAGTCACTCGATGTGAAGACATATTTGAAATGACAGTGAAGAGTCATTTCATTCTAAAGGATCACCAGGCCATTATGAGAACCTCTTCAATGGAGTTTTATTTTAAAATGAGGGAGGAAGCTAATTGTCCAGAGAGAAAAAGAGACAGAACATATAAAGCACATATAATCATCCTGACTCTACTAATGGCAGCCACATGTACCAACAAAGAATACAAGCTCAACAGCTTCCTGATGTCAATAAAAATTAGTAAGTGTCAATTAAAAAGAAAAAAACATCAGGCTACACGAAGTTTTTGAGATGCAGGCTACCTCACAAGTTAACATATAAAGAAAAGTGGAGGCATAGCCAGCACACAACAGATTTTTAGAGCCACATATGCTGTGAAAAGTTATTCTACATCTCCAGCACTGCCAGATCATTATTCTGTAAAAGATTACAATTTATACAGTAGATCCTACAATATCAAGGCATGCAGTAAGGATATATAACCCCCAAACTAGGGCAGCAGAACTATTAAGAGATAGAGACCATTTTTAAAATTAAAAGCTCAGTGCAAAAATGAAAGTTGTGATTTGACATCACTTAAGTGACTGCAATAGCATAATGCATTTGATCCCAAAGGGAGCCACAAAAACACTACTCACTTTGTGTGGTAACATACCGTTATGTGGCAATGTAAGTTCTTAATATGATAATTCCTTTGTAGGACCAGCTATTTAAAATGTATTTTTATAAATTTTATAAATTTTTGACCACCATGGGAAAAAACAAACAAACAAACAAACAAGGTTTCTATAAATAGAATGACTCTTTTTTAAGAAAGGTGCACACATGTAACCATTACATGATGGTCAAGGACAAAGACAAGTGACTGAACAGTTTAGTGGGCTTTAGTAAGCCTCTATATCCAACCTTGCCACTATTACAAAGACAGCACACAAATTATTATTATTTATGGAAAAAAATACATCTTTAATGGTATCTACTAAGTGGTTCTCAGGGTTTTAACAAATAACCTATTGGGAAATATGAGCACAGCAAAATAATGCAAAAAACTTTCCTTCAACACACATCACATTTTTTCTCCAGAGTGTCTAAAGCAGCAGAGCAGCAGCTTTTCGGAGACACCAGCACAATTCTAAGACATCTATATTTTCCCCCCACATTTATTTTTACAATTTGTGCTTTCATTATTCCAAGTCTCACAGCATCTTGCTGTGCATAGGCAACACAAGAATGACTATTGTTTTTGCTAAATAACACAACTTATCCCCCTCCCTAATTTTATGTGCATCTGTGGACAGAAAATAAGTTATTTAGAAACAGCACAAAATGTGTAAATTGTGTTCACATGCACAATAAGCTTGGCTATATACAATTAGTACTAGCAGAAAGGGGACCAAGTGTTCATTACTTCTAACTTTCAGACTATGCAGTAAATAAGCTTTTGCTTTCATTTAGACTCACTTATTATGAGACACATTATATAAAGCAATATTAGAACACTGCAATATAAAACAAAATTAAAACATGATTATTAATTCTCAAAACTGACATATGCATAAATTATTTTGATACTCCTGGAAAGTCCCCTCCTCTACGAGAAACAATCTCCTCTATCAGCCTCTCCAAAGGCGTATTTGGCCAGTGTAACCCTAGGCACGCAGCCACTGTTGGTATCCCAGAAGATGCCTTGTGGGACACTCCAGCTAGACACCACAACTTCTTTCCCCACCATTCCTTACTATATTCACCCTGAACTTAATGCTATCTCCCATTTGGCCAGTTCAGTAAAGCTAGGAAGAAAGGTCTCCAAAGCCAACATTTTTGGCTCCCACGGTAAAAGCTGCAATATCACTGAACAGCTCCCCAAACTGCAGCTAAGCCCCAACTCAGAAATAACAGTCAGGAATTTCTCCTTCAGCTCCTGATGGCATTAGCTGCTCAAGCCTTATTTGTCAGGTCTGTAATAGAGAACACTAAAATAATTCAGTGGCATTACTATCAGTAATAAATACTGGAAAAGGGTAACATGCATCAAAATGTCAGCAACAACCCTCCAAATTAAAGAAAGCTCTGATATAATCCTAGAAGGGTTAAGTGTTGGTACCAAGGGCGTCCCAGCGAGCTCAGACACCTCTGGCAGGCTGCGGTCCCGCTTGGGGCTGCTAATGACAACTGCCACACTGCTTCCCTGCCCGTTCTGTGAAATTACCGAGCTCATTCCTGCATTTAAAATTAAGAAACAGCTTAGTCGTGCTCCGATCTGAATGCAGATTTGAATCTCGAATCACTCCTAAAGAGCTCATCTCACGGAGCTTGGGAACAAGTGATTTCAGATTTCCCAACAACTCTCAGTCTTCAGCGTTATGAACATTAGCCTAAAAGTGACGAAGTTGTGACTCAAACACAACTGAAATGAAGCTGAACGCCTTTCGCAACCACATCTCAGATAGAGGAGAAGGAAGGGAGGAAAGGGAATGTTAAAGGTATCACCGGGAAGTTCTGACTCAAAGGCAGAATCCGTCACAGGTGAAGCTACACAAACACACACAGAGAGTCACTCCGGTTTCCAAACCCATTGGAGGTTCAGGCTGGATCCAGCCAGTTCTCCTTTTGCACAGCCACATCTC